GTTAGTGCATGCGCCATGCTACGTCATTGCTCTATCACGTACGCACAGTCGCTTCGCTCAATATAAGGTTTGCTAGCTGTGGGACGAGTGGGAAACTTACTTTTGGGACGCGCCTCGTACTTATACATTTTCCAACATATTTTAACATTTTCTCGAGCGGCAGAGAGAATCAGAATTAACCAGATGTGTGTCGCCATGATATGCGTTAAAATGTTTGGATTACTTTAATTCTGAAAACATGTCTACTACACGTCATTAAAATATTTCGTATCAACTTCTACAGATACTGTTGATCTGATGATTCCAAATCCTAAAATACTCTTATTATTGTACTTTCAGATCTGTTATGATGTATATGGGCCCGCCATGGATCTGTTAAACGTCATACAGCCATCGAAAAACGCAAGAAAGCGGGCAGATCTACAGGGTCATTTGACTGTGAAGCCGCCATCTGGGCCCGTAAAGCTGACGATTGCCGAGGCACCGATCGACAATGGCGTGTTTGTGCAGCCAGAGGACACGTTCTCGTCCCGCTATGCTGATGATCCGCTTACAGCTCTCGCCAGCAACTCGCCGACCACGGTCTTGCCATCTTATTTCGATGATGTTATCGTGGGTCGTATCACGTGCAATAACACGGCCGACGGAACACCATTCTCGTCCTTCCTGGACTGTTACAACGATTCGTATTTTGGGGCGATGTTCAACAACGGCACCGGCACCAGTAATGCCACCGGAGGACCAGCAAGAGACGAACCACTCACTGACGTCATCCTCATGGGTGTGACGTCACTCATCCTCGGCCTCATGATCCTCATCACTGTTATCGGTGAGTGCAGTAGTGAGATAAGTGAAGAGATATGTCAGGCGTAATTTAATTTCCCGAAATCCACAATCTGACAGGAAATTTTCACATTCTGCAAGTACGTAGTCCCACATGGAATTTCCAACTTTCAAACTGACAATCCTCAACGGGAAATTGTATTATAATGGCTGGCATCTTCCTAGTCACCGCTGTGAGAACCTCAAATATACTTTTAAATTATATTTTCTGTAAAGTCACGTGAAAATTCTTACAGATCGTCTCTCCGTGTCGAATATTAAACCAGGATCTTCTTTATCGTCATTATTAGTAGAAGAATTTCCACATGAACTGCCCTGGTCAGTGGGTTTCGTGGCGGAGAGAGTGGCGCTGGAACACGGTTTTCTAAGAGCCCTTCGGTTTTCCCCTGTCAGTATCACTCCGCCGTGGCTCCACATTCATTCATCATCTGGGGGATGGACAAAGGGGCCGTTAGAGGCCGCAGTTCCCACAGAAACATAATTTCACCCTTTGAAACAATGACAGTAGCAGTCTGTGTAAAATAAATTAAACCTATTGCTAATTTTAATAATAATTTGTTTACATCGTACTTCAGAAGGGTCGATTCGTGCCTCTAGCCACAGTAGCCGTACAGTGTTGGTGTGCTGGACAGAAGCCTAGCCGCGGGTTTATCACCCTTCCAAGGAGTCTTCCCAAATGTCTAAACTGATTCATAATTGGAAGATTTCACAATGCCTAATCCGTGAGAGTTCATGTTTCGATAATAAAATTGCTTTATTGGAAGTAAGTTTGGTTTATTACATCAGCTGTTTATATATTTGTAGATGATTATGGACCGGTAAGGCGATAAATATTTGTCCAGCATTCACATTAAATGAGTACCACCTCCCCCCATAAAACACGTTATCTTAATTATGTTGCTTTGATAAACTAAATTCAGTGCACGAAAAAAATTAAATGAAGTATTTCCTATTTGAATGCCATGGAATAATGTCCGACATTGCTTTGGAGTATTGAATCTGCGACAAGGAAAGTGCATGAGAACGAGAGTTAATGAAACTGAATGTAAGAAATCAGACGTTGGTTTCTGCATGTAAACTTGTTCCCTCAATCTTCCTACAGTGAAATTTCGAGAATTATTCAACGCACAAATACGAGGCTTGAATGAATCGCTTCCAGATTTTTCACAGAGTAAGTTTCATTTCCGTATTTACTTAAATATCCCCTATTCTAAGCCAAATATTTACGAATTCTTCTACCATATCGAATTAGATATTACACCAGTCGGACACGGACCAGTGTATATAAAACAGATCTTATTACATTAGTTTACTTCTGTATCAAAACCCTGCTTTATGCCTTCAAATATAGTGTCACAAAAATCATTACTTTTGAAGCTATGGTAGGGCGTTGATCGTAGATCGTGATAGGCTTAAGCCTCAGGCAATGACGGTACAAATTGAGGTAACCGGAATTTCGAGAATGTCTGAAAATTACTTCCATATTGACTCGCTCTGTGCCCTTAACCCTCGTACAAGGGAAAAATGAATGACCCGCTGGATAATTAAACTTATTACACGTGGAAGAATTACTGTGTCGCGAGGTTACACGTGGTGTTGCGTGGGGTAAAATAATGTGAACGCGTTATTACGTTCAGTGGATTGGACAATAACAATCTATACGAAGTCTCTAGTGGTCAGATGTTTTTGAGACAGGCACCTTGCCCATTTGCTCACTTTATATCCTTACACCTAGTTTATTTAAGATCTCTCCATCCTAAGTCTTTCTCCAACAAGTGGACTAAGTTCTTTAGTTTTCATACTAAATTTGTGAAAAAATGCTTATCACACTATTCGTGCTACATATCTCGCTCATCTCAAGAATTATCTCTGAATTTATTGAAACAGGTACGAGACATGAACATCAGACAAGATAGCTTGTGATACAGTTGAGATTCGAACCGCATACCTTCCATAAATGGGACACGTTTTGCTGTCAGTGTATCCTGTTTTGTGAGCGTTTTTAATCCAGGACCCTAAGTTCAATTCCTGATATTAACTGGGTCACATCCCGTGAGGCTGAACACAGAAATTTTTATACACACGATTATTATTTATTTAGTGTTCTGTCTGACGACAGGTCCATATGAACTGGATCCTTCCATCCTTTTCTCGGACTGGGACCTGTTCATATACGTTCTTGGCAGATGATCCAGAAGTGGTTTGCCATTGCCTTCTTCTGTGTGTGAATGGAGTAATTGTTGGGATGCCACGGAGGAAAACTCCGTGTTGCCCAGACCACGGCCTTGCCCAACACAAGTTATAAATCTCTGAGCACGATATATGATTTTTATTTCTTCTCGTATTACATGTACCTTTCAATCAATATACATGTGTAAAGAATATCAAAATATATACCCTATCTTATTAAAATCTGACAGGATGTTAAAGAAGACTTTGTATTTATTCAAAGCACTTCTTCGCTAAATTTATGTATTCTTATTCCACGAAAAATGTCTGGTGCTAAGGAGCTTAAATATAAAACTTGACAAGCGTGAGATGTGGTTTGCAAAAGTTCATTTTACGACGGCGAACAAGATTATCTTTCGAATAAATGTACCCATCTGTCTTACATAACAACATTTTTTTCTTCGAAGTCATACGTTTCTTTAAGGCAGTGATATTATAACCAGAAATTAATTACTGTTCATTATTCTTTATCTGTTCGTCAGATATCATGTCATGAAGGAAACTGGAAATTCATTTCGGCAGGCGGCGATGAGTCTAATCCAGTCTAGTTTACGTGATCAGACCAGTTTATCTGAAATTAATGTTAATGTTATTCTTTCATTCTTGCAAATTCCCTGAAGTACTTCCCGTCTGGGTTGTCCAACATCTCGGAAGTCAGTTACGTGTTGTTCCCTGCCCATTCTAGACGCGAAGTGTCCCTTGTCCCTGAAACTTTTTAACTTAATTGGCCTATTAATAGCAAATAAAGACGATAAACGAGGTTAATAAAGTAACCGTGATCTTTTATCACTCCTGCTTCATATTCGGGAGGTCCCGAGACCTGACTGAAGTTCATCGTGGTTTTCCTCAGGTCCTCCAGGAAAATTACGGGATGGTAACTGAAATTAGATTATGACCACTTCCTTCCACATCCCGTCCAATTCATTGTTTTCTGTCAGTGTTAAATTTGCATCGTCAAGTTCAGTAATATTGTTAGAAGTGATTTCTTGCTTATTTCTTCTATTTTAAATTAATCCTTAACACAACTTTTTCACAGTGCAAAGAACGAACATTTCATTGCGAAGTTTCTGAATAGCGTCTCATTAGAATCTAGAGCCTTTTACCTAAAAGTTTCATTCTTTTTCTAATACAGTAAGTAGCCCATGTAATGCAAATCTCGAAATCAAAATTTTGCAGCAGAAGCTGACGCCGTAGTCGAGCCAATGGTAAATTGAGCCAGGAAAAGAGAATTTATACCTGAATGGAAATTTGGTAAATAAACGTCAGAGTAAGTTCTTATCAGGAGTACCTAAGCTTTGTGGCGAACGTTTCACAGTTGAAGCTACAATGAAGAATTTTTGCATTCGATTTTGCTGTGTTTCAGTAGGGAACATTATGTCTGCTTGATGGGATAATATCTTCATTAATAGACGAAGACAATGCAAAGACTATGGATTGAAACATACCGTACTGTGCAAATGTAAGCGGTGTAATGTTTATTATAAGCCACCGGTGAGTTAAGTATTTCTGCGAGGGGAAAAGCTAAGCTTGTTGCAGATGTACAGGCGTTTAACGTAATATTAACCCACCTTTTAAAAGTGGCGTACTGTACGTTATGGTTAGGGATATAAAACACAAAATTAACTTAGTTTTCAAAAATATAAATTGTAAAGTTCTAGCTGTGGAATATTTGAACCGATGGAGATAATGCTCTATGCAAAATGTGAATAAAAAATAGATATTAAAGAACATTGCCTGAAAAGTTTCTCCATATTTTCTGATCGTGTCAATAAAATAGAATCATTATTACTTATTCATAGTTTCCTTAGTTATTACAGTAATGTCCCACACAATCATCGCTGTAAATTAACACAAGTTTTTGTTATAACTAACTAACTAGATGGCTTACCGAACCCGAAGGTTCATCACCGAATTAACCAAAGCCCTCCACCGGACCCTCTCCTGGGCCAACAAAATCCAGTCTCCTTCAACTCCTATCTCCCATAGATCCCGCCTGAGATTATCCTCCCATCTACGTCTAGGTCTCCCCAGCGGCCTCTTCTCCTCAGGCTTCCCAAATAGTGGACCCAACCAACCAGATGGCTTACCGAACCTGAAGGTTCATCACCGAATTAACCAAAGCCCTCCACCGGACCCTCCCGCCCATCTCATTCTTCTCGACTTAATCACCCTGACAATATTGGGGGAGGAGTACAGATTTTTAAGCTCGTCATTATGCAGTTTTCTCCACGCCCCATCGTTTTTCCTCTTAGGCCCAAATATCCTCCTCAACACCCGATTCTCAAACACCTGCAATCTGTGTTCCTGCCTCTGAGTGAGAGACCATGTTTCGCACCCATACAAAACAACAGGCAAAATTACTGTTTTGTGTACTTTAATTTTCAGGTTCTTAGAAATCAGAACGAATCACTATTAAAGTATTATTTAGGCAGTTATAATTTTATTATTAATAACAAAAACTTTTTTATTACAAGTTTTGTTATTAATAATAAAATTATAACCGCCTAAATAATACTTTAATAGTGATTCGTTCACACTTGATCATCTTCTTGGTGATGTCTTCTCACGCCTTCTTAGATTCTGTGCCTTTTGTCCTGTAACGGAATGAAACGTTGATATTCGTCGAATCCGCTCATTTGTCCTGCTCCGTCGCTTGCAATAGCCGCCAAAGGACAAAAGACGTCGTGGTCCGGACGACAAAGCAAGACAAAACTTTCTGTCTCTGCCAGTGACTTGTGCGATTGGATCGCCGGCATT